AGTGCTCAGAAAGTTCCTGGAGTTCTGCCATTAAGATATAGTTGAAGATAGTTACATAGAGACAAGGAAGAGGAATCATTAGACAATGGAGTGACCTTGGTTAGGTCACTAAGAATATAAGAACAAACTATTAAAATGTCAGCCGGGCTCGGTGGCTCAGCCTGTAATCCCGCGTCTTTGGGAGGCTGAGGTGAGTGGATTGTCCGAGCCCGCGGGTTCGAGACCTGCCTGGGCAGCGAGACCTCATCTCTACAATAAATCAAAAAATCAGCCGGGCATGGTAGCACATGCCTGTAATTCCGGCTACTTGGAAGGCTGAGGCGGAAGGATCGCTGGAGTCCAGCAGGTCGGGGCTGTGGTGACCGGAAGCGGCCACTGCACTTCAGTCTGGGCAACAGTGAGACTCCAACTCAAAAAAAAAAAAGAAAATGTCAAAGCGTAGCATTTGATTTCAGTTAACAAAGCATACAATTACATGGAAGCTATGGCGAAGGAGTTCTGGAACGGTCAGCAGGCAATGGTCAGCATAACCTGCCCAAAGGAGACAAAGCTGGGGGTCTGTGGTCATGGGAACGTTACTGTCACCACACGTAGGCATTGATTCTTAGGTCGGGCAGGTAACTAAGATGAAAGTTTTAAACAAAATGGAGTAAGCTGGTTAATATTATTACTTTGCTCGCAATTTGATTTTATTAACTGATTTAGCTCGTTTCAACTGTTTGTCTCACTTGCTCTGCTCCTTACTGTTTCCTGAGCATGTCAAACACCTCCCTGTGTTTTCCACTACTGTCCTCTGGCTTAATTGTTTCTCCCTTGAATAACAGTGTGACTCACGCCTCCCCTTTCTTCAGACTTCTGCTGAAACATCTCCTTATCTGAGAGGACTTCCGTGACCATCTTCACTAAAGTAGTGCACCTTCCCCTAAGATCCTAGTACGAGGGGACCCCAAAATTATTTTTTGGAGGAATTAGTTTTTGGAGGGCCCCTTGTAATACAGGTGTCCCCCACCAGGTAAATGTTCTAGGAACCCATCGGCATCAGTACACCAGCTAGTGTTGTAAGAGGCTGTGTTCAGTCTCAGTGAAATTTTTTTTTAGTTTATTTCAAAGCATTTGCCTATTTCATGATGGTGATTTACGGGCACACCTGCCCACACTGCGCTGAGTGTTCAGCAGTTTTTGACCAAAAAAGCCATAACCCCTGTGTCATGCCCTCCCTATTCACCCAATCTCTACCCAAGTGACTTTTTTTTGGTTTCCCTGGATGAAAAAAGCACTCAAAGGGAAAAAAATTTTGCCAATGTGGAAGAGGTGAAAACAAAAAATGGCAAAAGCACTAAAAATGGCATAAAAATTGATGAGGTCAAGACTTGTTTTGAATGGTGGAAAAAGCATCTCAACAGGTGTATTGCATCAAACAGAGAGTACTTTGTAGGTGACTGAGTTTAAACATGTAAGAATGAATACACATTTTTTAATAAATAAATTCTGGATTTTAAAAAATCCCCCCTAGTCTGTCAGTTTTCTTGCTTTGCTTCTTTTTTGAACAGTCATCACATGTTAACATACATTTGTTTACTCTTTGCTATTGTTCATTGACTGCCCCTCACCCACTGCTGCATCCTTGGTGCCCAAGAGAACACAGTAACAGACATGTAGCAGGCTTCCCACCAGTGTTTGTTGGGTGAATGAATGAGGGAATCAGACACTGTCCTAGGGCCTGAGATAGAATTGGAGCAAAAACGGAGGAGAGCCCTGCTCTCACGGAGCTGCTGTCTGGATGGGAAGGCCAAATAATGAATCAATCACACAAGGAAATATGAAGTCGTGAGGCAGGCATAACAAGCACAGCTTAGCTATCGACCAGTGAGCTTTTTGTAGGCAGGTGCAAGTTAGATAAACAAGGAACAGGATGGTCACACGTCCAGGTGCCCTTCTTATTGGAGTACAACCTCCTCGTGCAACTCCCTACTGACCAGGTATGTCAGAATCCAGAGCTGCCCGCTCAGGAGAATGTAGGGAGAATGGTACAATAAACCACAGAGGCCACGAGCAATCACCAGAGCACTGGGGCATTGTGTTTTCGGAAAGTCTAATTAAACAGCAACTTCTTCCCCGTTATCTCAAGAATTCTTTGTGGTGCGAGTAAACTTAAAAGTTAAACGGTAAAAATTAAAACTTATGGTTATAAGCTTTTAGCCCACGTAGCCCACACATCTTAGCTTAAGAAATAGGTTGCTTAATCATCGTTTTAGACAAGATATAAAACTTCTTGTGAAAGGCCAGTGTGTGTCTTTCTCTTTAAGATGCCCACGTTCTCCTTTGAATGTGTTTTCTCTGTAATAAACTATATTTTGACTCTCTGCAGCTCTCTCTCCAGGGAAATTCTTTTCTATGGCAAAGGCAAGAATCCACGAAGCAGCTACAGGCCATATACCCCGACATCAGTTGCAGTCGTGAGATGGGCTCTAGTAGAAAGCCATATGGTACAAGAAGAGCAGGCATTTGAGCCTGTCAGGGAGGGCACGGACAGCTTTTGTGAGGAAGTATTGTGTGAGCTGCTATCAGAAGGATGATCAGGCTTGGATTAGGTAAAGGAAGGTGACAGGATCAGATGTATCTTTTGAAAGGATCCCTCTGGGTTCAATGATGAGAATGGGGCAAGGATGAGCTTCTACAAGGATCTTTAGGAGGCCCTGGAAGTTATTCAGGTGAGGGGTGATGGTTCCTGAACTAGGGGTGGCCCTGGTGGTTAGGAGAAGCACACAGCAGATGAGGCTTGTTTGTGGACTGAGTATGGGAGAGGAGGTGACAAGAGGGACTTCTGGGTTTCTGTATTACTGGCTGAATAGTTGAGAAAAAGAATATCGAGAAGAGGGACAGATTTGTTTTATTTTATTTTGTGTGTATATGCATATAATGGGGGAGAAAGTGAGAGAGAAGATTACAGTTTTGACACTTGGCATTTTGGCTTTGAGAACCCTGGTATGAGATGTCAAGTAGATCGTCGGTGATGAGAGTGAAGGGGCCAGACACGCAGCCTTGGCTGCAGATGTAAATTTTCGAGTTGTCTATCTGCCTCGGTGGCATTTGAAAATGTGGGAGTGGATGACATTGCCCGGGCAGAGAAGACTCAGTGGTAAGACAAGAGGTCCCCGTGAGGGACGGCCTTGGAAAAGAGACTCACAGGACTGACTAGCGACATTGGAGGAAAAGAGGGAAATGTGGACTCATCTCAAAAGGGTGTTTCTAGAAGAAGGGAGTCATCGGCTGTGTCAAAACTCCTGCAAAGGGGCCCAGGAATCGAAAACCATCAATTGCACTAACTACATGTGTTAGGGTCCGGATAGGGTGAGGTCCATGGGCTGGAGCGGTGAGGAGAGGCACAGCACTGGTAACCCAGAGATCCGAGTAATTGCAAAGACTTGCAACACACAAAAAGGTTTAAAAAAAAGGAAAAGTTTATTTAAAAGTAAGTTAGAGAGAGAAAAGCGAGAAAGAAGATTCACCTCCCCAAGGTGGGGGAGGGGGCCAAAGCCAGGAAGCATGGCGACAGCCACGGCTCAAAGAGGACACGGCCACACCAGACTCTAGCAAGGCTATGGCTGCTGGTTGCTTGTGGTTGAGTCCTTTTAACCATTCCCCCTGATGGGGGAAGATCCTTAAGGTGATTGGGGGGTGGTCTGCTCCACGTCATCACGAAGGAATGGCAAGCGCAGGTACTGATGATGTCAGGTGATGGACAGCAGGCAGATGGGTGGGTTAGTCACATGATTGCTGCCATGGTGGGGCTTATCTGTGACATGTAGGTCACAAAGGGCTGATGAGGTTAACCCTGGTGGGGGCTTTCCTGCAAGAGACTTGTTAGACATTTGCAATTCACAAACTCAGATGTTTGCAACTCACAAACTCCTTGACCAAAGGTGGTGGTCGTGTTAATACTTTTATGACTCTGGCCAGCCAAAGGGTGATCTTTGATCCCCAAGGAACCTAAAAATTTCCTAGAGATTATTATGCTAAATCATGAACCGAAAGGTTGGGCTGTCCTGGTCTTGCATCTGATAAAGTTTTGCCAGGGTGGGGGCTGGGATAGGCTGCTGTTTGTCCAATAGTAGAATGTCTGAATGCTTTCTGAGAGCTATGCTGAGGCAAAAAGACGAAATCCTTTCAACATGGAGCTGGTTGATGATGTTAATAACTTGCCGTTTTTGCTGCAGGAGAAATGTTAAGGTGAGTGGAGGAGTGATCAAATGGAAACAGAAAAGAAAAGGTGAGGGACTATTTTGGGATGGGGGTGGGGAAACCGGGCACTTGGTTTTAGTGTAATGTTTCGGAGAAGGTGGGAAGGAAAGCCAGTACCAGGACAGGACTTGCTTACACTCTGAAGGAGCTATTCTCAGTTGTGACAAGAGAGAAGAAAGCCAACAGCAGGGTGCAAACTTAAGGCGATTTCTACTGGACTGGGGGTAGGGAGGGTGATGGACTTGGTTTCTGTTTTGCCCCTAATGAAGGGGAGAGATTAACTGCTTCTCCGGGTGTTAGCAATAAGGGCTCCTTGTTAACTAATTGCTTTGTATGTGAGTGGATACCTTAGCTCGACAACAGTTTCACGGATAAATATCTCTCCATGCGCACAGCGGTGAGAACAGAAACAATAGGTGCGTATAAATACTCGATTAATTTTTATTCTAACGGTGATGATGACAAATCTGATGATGCCCTGATGGCCAGGAAAAGTGTAAGCTCCAATCAGGCCCCTAGCATAAAGCGCCCGAAAAGAGAGAGGAAGGAGCACGGCGAGGCCCGCGCAAGGAAAGGAATTCCACCAGCCCGCGCCCTGCGGTCCAGGACCGCAAGGGTTAAGAGCAACGAGAGTGGACCGCCACTGCTTCCTAGAGAGGCCAGGGCGGAGCCCGCGGGAAAAGGGGGACTTCCGGTCCCCGTCTTCCGGGCTTGCGGGTACAGGGCCCTGGGCGGGGCGGGTCCGCGGCTCGCCGTGGGGGCTGCGGGCTCCCTGGGTGTCCCCCAGAACAGTGAGTGCCTTGTGCGGGGAAGGGAGCCGGGGCTGCGGGCCGGA